AAGATGCAGGTAAAGGATCTTCTTATGTACAAGAAGATACACAAGACTTTAGGGTAGAGACCAACAGGGATGACAGACAAGGATTGGAGTGAGATGGATAAGCAGGTCGTTGCGAACATCAGAATGTCGTTATCAATGAATGTTTGTAGTCTGATAGTGAAAAAGACTACARCAAAAGAATTATTGAAGGCCTTGCAAGACAGGTATGAAAAACCTTCTGTCAATACAAAAATACTTCTATGGACGAAGTATTTTAATATCCACATAGAGGAGGGAACCTTGGTGAATTCCCACATTAATGAACTCACCGATATCTTGAACAAATTAGAAGGGATGGGTGTCAAGATTGAGGAGGAGGTGAAAGCTACGAGGCTGTTRACGTCTTTGCCCGACAGTTGGGAGACGATGAAGAACACAGTGTCGAATTCGCTAGGGGAAAATAGCTTAAAATTTTCARCTATTTGTGATGCCGCCTTATCTGAGAAAGCCTAGAGGAAATTAGGGAAAATGTCTGCATCTACTTCAGGAGCAGAAAATGGGGTTGAATCAGCTTTGGTAGCACAGAACAAAGGGAAGGCAAAGATGAGTTACAATGGGAAGCAGCAACAGAGATATAACAGGGGTAGTGAGAGTTCCAGTGGGGAAGTTGAGTGTTATTACTGCCACAGGAAGGGACACATTAAACGCTTTTGCAGGAAGTTCAAAGAAGGTTTTGAGAAGGGGAACAATACTGCAAATGTTGTAACAGAAGARGAACGAATTGAAGAGTTTATGGCTTGTGTTCAGAGGAACATATCTGTTAGTGGGTAGTAGACACTGCAGCATCAATGCACGTTGCTTCAAAAAGACGTTGGTTCTCATCTCTTACTGTAGSTGATTACGGCTCAGCGAAGATGGGGAATGAGAGTRTCTCCAAAGTAAGAGGAATTGGAGATGTTTGTTTGAAGATAAGAGAAGGGGCCGAGTTGGTGCTACGAGGCGTCAGGTATATTCCTAGCTTCATATTTAATTTGTTATCCGCAGGGAAGCTAGATGACRATGGCTACAACAGTGAGTTTAGTGGGGGTTGCTGGAAGCTCAAGAGGGAATCCAGGGTGGTGACAACAGGCCACAAGAGATTTTCTGTTTATGTGTCAGAGTTTGGGTTTGCCAAGGGTTCACTGAGACAGACAATGCACAGAGTAGCTGCAGATGATTCAATGCGAGACCTTAGAGAACCAGCARCATTGATGACCAGAACAGATCAGAAGAATCTGCCATAAACTCAAGTTAAACTGTTAAGAAGTACAAAAAGGGGAAACGAGAATTTGATAGGCCATCGAGTTCATACCTCAGCTGTCAGACGTTCAGGCGAGCTGGTGAAGTCTCATAGGCGAATTAGTGCATTGAAGGGTACGAGTTCTATTTCTAGTGTGGCGACATGCTTGGGTGGGCGTGCAAGCCTAATGCAGAGAGAAAATCTTCTTTCAGAGGTCAGTGGGTTCGATCGAAGAAAGWAGCAGCGGRAACCACTTAAATCAAGTGGGAGTACGTGGCTATGTCTCTAAGTATGGGGGACAAGACCATGTAGAGCTGCCCAGTCTCGGGGCAGAGTCAGACGATGCTTGGGTAGGGCCAAGTAGTGTTGATCAGTTCGTTGATAGAGGAGTTAGAACTGTGCATTGACAGAAGGTGTTAAGAAGTTGATGAGACACTGTTGATACATTGGGAGACAGAGAATTGTTGCTTTGTCTCCAAGTGAGAGATTTTTGGGTTTGGTGGAGTCAAAACGACGTCGGATCGAGCTAGGGAAGAGTCGGGACGCGTCAGGATCGAAGCAGGAATGAAAACATGGGAAAACGAAAGYTGCAAGCCACATGGGCCGAGGAGGCAGCGCCGTGGCGCCGCTGTAGGGCGCCACGGTGCTGCAGTGCTGCGACGCTATCCAAATGAGGGCGCAGACAGACTTTTTTGTCCGCAGTGCCATGGCGYCGGGGACAGTGCTATGACGTTGTTTCRATGTCCATATAAGTGCAGTTTCAGGTTTAGGGTTTGGTAGCCGAAAAAGGGTTATTGTCCAGCCGTTTTTCACAGGGTTTCATGGCAGTTTCAAGGGAGAGGCTCGGGTATTGGCAGAGGCATTGAGGCTCATCAAGATCAACATATTTGGGGTAAGTGATCTTGATTATTGTGAGTTTTTCATTCATGTTCTTAAGTATTAATTGTGTAAAATACTTAGAAGCTAGGGGCTTTTGTTGAGACCTGTAGGGGATATTTTGGGGAGTGTTATTGTATCACATCCTTAACAATATTAGTGAATTACCCACATCTGAGTGAAAGACTAGACGTAGCCCTTAGTGGTGAACCAGTATAATTTGTTGTGTCGTTTACTTGTGTTTACTRTTTTCTTCCTATTTGCATATTCTTGGTTGTGTTKGATATTTTCTGTGAAAGGGGAAATAATTCAGGTCTGTTAATTTCCCAACAGAATGAAGAAAGAGAAGAAGAGAAGGAAGAGAAAACAAAGAAAGAATGGGTTAATGGAAAATGAGAGAGAAAAAAAATCTAGAAAAAGAAAGAGAGGGAAATAGAGAGAGGGGAAAAAATTCAAGAAAAAGAGAGAGGGAATAAGAGAGAGAAATATCCAAGGTGATGTCAGCAAATATTAGAAAATATAAGTTTTGAAAAAAGTGAGTAAAAAACAATACTACCTTGGTAAAAGAGCTATTCAGCCCAAAAACCCGTGTAGAAGGGAGGTCATAAACATTTATATTATTATTGGGGATAAAACCGACCTTCCATGTGGCAAGCGTTTGAGACAAGGGCCAGACCAGCCTCACCAAGTCTGCCCAAAAGAGATGGGCCCAATGCACTCCTAGTCGCACCAGCACATCTCGTCATCAATGCACGTTAACAACGGGATTGATTGGGCACAGTCAGCACCACCACCAGGTTGGYCATTCCACGACAAACGACTTGAATCTTAGGGCCACTTACCATGTTTGATCGCCTAGTACAACCTATAAAAGACAAAGAGCTACCGCTCTCTGGTATGTTCGGATTCCTTCTAAATACACATAATAGACGTCGAATTTCATTACTAACTTAGGCAACGAAGTGTTGATCTCTGTTTTGCAGGTCATTCACATTTTGGAAAGAATAAGCCATTTAGCTTGTGCAAACCAAATTTGCGTACGAACACATATAATRAAATCAATTTAAAAAAAATATATAATAGTAGAATCATAATCATAGCGACCTTAATTGAAATGCATACTACGTTTATAAATTTTTCAATGAGGGTAGCTAAATTGCCATAACTTACTACTTAAAAATTCTGGATTCCAACCTTTAATCATTAAGGGTATCTTATCGGTGTTATGAAGAATTAAGTCGTAGAGTATTGTGCATAATAACAAGAGCAAACATCTAAAACRTAAAGGTAGGAGAAGAAGAGAATCGACACACGAATATATAGTGGTTCTCGACACATGGTCTACAGGCATAGAGAGTAACATATACAAAAGTCAAGAACAGGGGGTCACTGAGATAGAAGTCCATTTTAACTGCTACTAATATGTCTATTACAAGATGGTTAGATAACAGAGTAACTCACTGTAATAAARGGCTTAATAACAGAATATGTGATATAAATTCTCAACGGGTGTTTTAGTATAATTGGCRATAACTAAATTCATAGTTCTCTCACAATATAATACTGTAGCTATCACTACCAGAAAATGGACTTTCAGAGCAGAAAAAGTTGTTGAAAGCCCAAATATGYCACTGAAACTTTTAGTGACTTTTGGAGATTCGTTGCTATGAACGTCGTTGATATACCACATCTTTTTAACTTTCAGCCACATTACTACGGCGTCACTAAAAAGTTGAGTATTAACGTSGACCACGAAGTTGCTAAAGATAAGTATTAGCGAGGCCTCTATGAGTCGYTATAAAAACTTCTTAGTGACTCCTAATTGTGTCGCTAAAAATATTATCAGATTAAATTGATGAGTTATTGAAAGTTTTTTAAAGTGTTATTTCCAACTATTTTCATTCTTTCATTTTTGTTTATTCKTYRTGATYAATAGTAACATATATAAAAGGTTGTTAAAAAATATTTATAATATAATAAAATACAGATGATATTGTCACTTCCAACATAATCCTAACGACTTTACTTTTG